TGTGGCCCTGGACCAAAGCTAACGATGATTGGAGAGGGACAATTTTATGACCTGGGGGGGGGGGGGAATTCAGCATGGGGATATATGAGATGATGAGTAGTTTGAAACCTATAAGTGGATAGGGCAGCGGGACACAGGGCTTTTCAGCAATGCTGTGCTTGTCTTTGCTGTGAAATGGCTGGATGGTGGCAGCCTGGAGGATCCCACAGAGACAGCTCGTGTGTTTTGCCATTGCCATTTTGCCAAATAGCATTTTGCCTCTTTTACCCTTTCCCTCAGCCTTATCCTCTCCTTGCACATTCCCCATCTGACCACAGTTTCTGGCATTGTTGGCTCTGCTGTCTGGGACTCTCCAGCCCCTGACACCCTCGCCTGCCCCTGCACCACGCTAGGATAGAGAAACACCCATCAAGGATGGAGCGCACTACTAATGTCCATCACTGTATGTGTCCTACTCTCAGGAACCCCAGGGAAAGGCTCTTCGCAACAGAAAACTACTGATATAAAATCTTGTCCAAAAGTAATTCAACTTTCTTACTTCATCATTCCCATCTTGTTTAATATCTAGTGTGCTCTAGGACTCCTTGCATAGCAGCAAAGTGAGTTTTGAGCTGTTTGTGTGAGTCAGTGGTGGGTCCTTGACTACCAGCACTGCTTGCAGGGTTACAAATGCAACAGTTTCCCTGACCTCCTTAGACATCCTCTCCACCTGCTCCCCCTGCTTACATAAAATGCTCTGAAACTGCGGTCAATTAGGAGTGTTACCTCTGTCTGGCACCAAAGTGTGCTGTAGAGATGCTGTAATCTCAGCCTGAGAGTCTCTGCATGCTGAAGCTCCCTGTGCTGTGCTTCCACAGTCTGTGGGAGAAAAGGTGGTAAAGGAATTCATCTCTAAAACATCCCAACAACTATGAGTAGATGCCTTTTTTTAAAAAATATTTGTTACCATGGAAACTGAGCCACAGACACTCACTGAACATTTTCTCCTACTTAGTCCTCATGTATCCAGACACTCAAGAATACCGGATAACCGCTGTCTGGCGTTTTCCGGACTTGTGAAGGAAGAAAAAAGGGGACAAATAGGACAAAATGCTTAGTACAGAAGCCACTGAGGAACAGGAGATCAAGGAAAGAGTCTATTGCAAAGAAAAATGAGACTTAGGGATACTCGGTGATGAAGAGAGAGAAAAAGTGTTCACCCTGAGCATGGGACTGGCACATAACTCCTGCATAGTAAAGATCATCTAAGCCTATTTTAAAAATAAATAAATAAATAAATAAATAAATAAAGATAAATTAAAAATAAATAAATAAATTCTTTGTGATAAATCACAAATTCCCCTAGAAGCAATGACTAGTGCTCAGACCACAGTAAAGTAGTATCAAACCCATCCAAAACCTCACCTGCCTCTTAGTCTTCCTTCAGTCCTATAAGGCAGGACTGTGAATTAGCAATGATGCCCTTCCCACAGTGAAATCCTAGCCTCCCTCCAATACAAAACTAAGAGAAGTACATAAAGCATGTTTAACAAAAATTGATATGCACCCCCTCTCCTCCCGGCTGAATTCATTCTTTGGCTTTACTATTTACTGAGGATGTACAGAGCCAAGCAGCCAACACAGACAAAAAAAAAAAAAAAAAAAAAAAAAAAAAAAATCTCACCTCATTGATTGGCTACAGCATTGGAAAGGCCCAAAATGAAACGTCTTATGTCAGGAGAGAAATCAGAATATGTTTTTTTTGGAGCCTGGCCCTCTCCAGGTGCTGTAACGTTACATGTCTCCTGGCACAGGCTCTGCCAGATATTTCCTCATGCCAGGGCTCGGTGCATCCCTTGGGTGGAAGCCCCCACATACAGAGACCGTGGCTGGGACAAGAAGGCGGCTGGGTCTGTGCACAGTTAATGAATGCCAGCTAGCACCGAGTAGTTGCAGAAAATTATTTAAATTTGAATTAATCCTCTTTTCCTTCCCTTATAGATAAGACTTTAATGATAAATCCAACTATCAATCTGGCTTATATGGAAAGGCATGATCTATAAAATCCATGTGCAGCAATAGAAAACTCTCTCTGTATTAAGCTCTGAATACAAGCTCTCACTATATTAAGCTCTGAAAATATTGTTCATGTGGCCACTGAACTATGTATGAATCTCTTCCATTGACTTCTCTGGGCTCTGTGTTAGATCCTAGTTAAAATGTGCTTGGTGGTGTGGTTGGTACAGGAACTAGCAGTAAGTTAAAACAAATTAAAAAAAAAAGAGTTTGTGTTACTTGTTCCTTCTGACATACCACTCCCCTGTTCGGGGATAGGTTTTCAAAATATTTGTTTCACAATTTATTGATTCATGCATGCATAATTAGTCTATTTGGACATGCAAATTTCTATTATTTGCCATGTGTCTGCATGTTCCATTGTATGCACTCAATGTTTGCATTTGTTAAACAGAAATACTTTGCATTTGGAGAAAGACTATACTTCCACCACAGTTCTTCTATATACCATGATATCTAAAAACAAGCATACACACACACAAAACACTCACCATTACAGCAGTATTAATTCATAAAGAAAATCAAGTTCATCCGAAGGTTCTCCATTCTGTACCTGTTATCCATGCTTTATAGATGTTAATTTGTTTAAATCACAAAGACTATCATTATTTTAGTTCATATTTAGACATAAAGGTCTACAAATTAAAGCATTTCCTCTCTTTCTTTCTGCACTGTTATTAGGGGGAAAAAATAAGAAAGCACAATTTGTCTGGAGAGGACTTCTCAAAAACTTAATCCTTATTCCTTTTAATCTTGAAGGTTGTCTGTTTAAATGGTGCATATATTTTTCTGTGTTCATGCTTGGTAAAAATCTGGGTTCCAACCAATGGAATATATTATGTGACCCTTTTTCTCCTTATTCTTTGAGCTAGCTTGTCCAAAGGAAGAAGGTCTCACTATGGTGAGAACAGTTTAGCAATGAGGGGCCAGTTAGCATGGTTGATGAGTTATGCCATCAATACCAAACTGAATTCTAAGATAAATACAACCCTGAGGCATAACAAAGCACAAGTTATGGCCAACTGTCTCTGTATGTGATCATCTTATAGTGATAATACAGCTTAGATCTGCTTTTATTACTAGCATTGTGAAGCATTTATTGTGGTTTTTTTTTTTTGAAAGAAAAAGATTAAATTAAAAAGACACTGCAGTGTTATCAGCTACATTCTTTAGTTCATCTCCTAGCAGTTGAACAAGTGGCCCAGCTGACACTAAACGAGACCAAGGAAAATTGTAATATAAATGATTTGTTAGAAAGGCAAATAATTTGGGTTACAGTTACAGAGATGGAATTTGAGGCCCCCCAGTGACCACATCATCTTCAATGTACAAACAGTTGATAATCTTATCAATGCAAAGTTGCCTCCGTGCTGCATTTAAAAGCAAGTTACCTTTATTCCAGCTTCTACTCCATTGAAATCTGCTATAAATACCTACTTTATAACACTGACCCAATATATAAATTGCTTAGTTCAAAAGAAAAGCTTTTTTGGAGGAAGGGGGGAATGGAGTAAACACAGTGTGTTGTAAAAGCTAAGTGGTTTTATTGGCACTTTAAAATACCCTTTTATGCTGAACTCTATCAGCTCTGATTATATATAACAACAGTAGTTATGTATTAAAAATGTGTGTCAATAGTTCCACTAACATTGTGATTTGTCATTTCTGTGCCAGAGGTCCCAACAGGCTTGATTGACAAAATCTACCCGTGGCTCAAAGGGATCAGATGCTGGAGTGTGTTGTTTGTTCAGTAAATTGATAAGAGGCACCATCTCTGTTATTTAAATAAAAAACTTCATATATCAACCACAAAAATGGTAAAGCATTCTGCACTCACAAACCTCTCAAGGGTGCCCACTTGTGATGCCAGCAGAAGAGCCCAAACTGAAGTTATCATGTCAGCGTGCCTGGCACGGGAGGTTCTGGTAGGATGTTTATCAATCAAATAATAAAATAAACCTCTAGTAAAGTTTAAGGAATAAGTTTACTTGTGTTTATGTAGAGTGGCTGATACTCTCCTGTGTTCAGTGGTTTAGTACCTGCCCACATAGCTGTGTGGCTAGATATCAGGGACTAGAGAGCCTATGAACTCTTGCTCCCAAAACATTGGCACTACAGGAGATAAGTGTGTGTCTCACTAAGACGTATTAAGCCTTACATTTTCCATAGGTTAACGACTCAAAAGTAGCATGCATTTTTGTGTGATTGACAAGGCAGAGCACTACTTGCACTGCAGCCAGGATGCAGGCACACAGACAGCTTGTCTCACCTCTGCTTCTTAAATAAGCAGCATTTAAAGCACATAATGACACAAGTGCTTGCAAGACCAGTCAAGCTTTTAAAGTGATAGTTTAGTTTTAAGGCAGTACTGTGTATGAAATAGAAACTAAAATTTCATTGCACTTGACACAAATGAAGATCCCCTCGGACGGCAGGTGCTGAGCCTTGGTTGTTCAGCGAGGAGAACCTTCCCTATAACTGCCTTCTTCTGCCTGTGTGCAAATGCACAGGCTGCGAGCTGCAGCATCTCTCAGGACAGCTTGCTCTGTGAATTCTCTCCGTGTACAAATTACATTACTCTGAGACCAGAGGAAGTAATTTAATGCTGGAATTCTCCAAAGAGTTTGTCTGCTTGTTTTGCTGAGGTGTAGCTATGTTATACCATGCATATAAAGCAGTGGGGTTTGACAACCCTCTCTTCTTCACAGTCATAACTTCTCTCCTGAGAATTAGATCAGTGGCTTTATACTGAGAATTGCTGGGTACTCGCTACTTCATTTTCTTTGCATACCACCCTCAGCTGAAGGCCAAGCCCGAGTGATGCCTGCAGGGGCAGCCAGCTGCTTCTCACGCTTAGTGAGTGACCAATGGGCCACAGCTGGGCAACATGCACCTTCCTTCCCTATATATACCAGCTCTCACACAGCTGAAGTCATGTATTTGGGTATATCTTCAAGTCCCACCTCATCCTTGTGGTGTACAGTGATGAAAATCTTCTGTGCTGCACAGCTTTTGTTACCTCCTGAGGCACAGGTACTTTGCTAGTGGCTGGAGTTAGTTGTACACAATGTTTGGCTGTTGTTCAGATTCATCTTTTTTTAAAGAAAATAATGTTGTTTTCAGTGGTTAAAGCTATTGCGCTGAGCAGCGATGTTTTAGCTCCTTTTGGGAGCTTTTCAGCTCCCTGCCTGAGCTTTGGGGTGGCTTCAAGAGGGAACATCCCGTCATACACTGTTAGTGGCTGAAAACAGTGATTCCCATGCAGATAGGAAGTTTTTAGGATTATTTCCTTAGGGTGACAGCAGGGGCCTTGCTCTATTTGTAGAGTACCTACTACTCTTTTACTTACAAATAGAAGGTAAAAGAAATACTCATTACAAAGCGCTTTTGTTTTAAAATGCCATTTATAACTTTGTAATCTGGACCGATGGGGATGGTCACAAAGGCCTCATGTGGCTAATCACAACCTGCCTGCTCTGTGTCAGTGGAGGGAAGCAGTTTTCTCCAGGGCTGAGTCAGTGCAGTGTTAGCTTTGACTCACACCTTGGAAAAGCTCACCTCTTTGCATTGATGCATAGTGAAATTAAACTTGTGTGGCTCAAGCTGTGCTTTGCAAATATTCCTTGTAAAGATAAGAGATGGTGGAGAATCCTTTCTGTCCATCTGTGCTTAGTTTAGAAGCAGTCTTTGTCAGATTTTTAAGTAGAAAAGCTCTTGAATGATGATTTTGAAGTTAGCTGAGACTTCTTTGAGCTGTGTGCCCCAGCAGCAGCCTCTGGGTACCCCACCTGGTGATTGAGCAATGCCCAGGTGCTACTGGCTGTAAATACCCTGAGGAACAACAGTGTTCTGGTTCTTACGTGCAAAATACAGCAAAGAAAATACATAGCCAGTTCTGTAAGTAGCCTTAAGATGTCACTAACTGACTTGGCCTTGGCTTTTTCTGCTGGTTTGCAGCAGAGCTCAGGCTGGAGAAGCGGAAATAGGCTGTTATTTTTAACACATCTCCCCCTCCTACAGTGAGTGACAGACAAGGTGCTGATGTCAATTGGCTAGTGTTACAGGCATTAATTAAGTCAACTAAAAGTCCTTTTAGTTTCTATTTCCTTCTGCAGGGACAACTAACCTGCAGAAAGGGGAAGCGCAAAAGGCAAGGGAGAGCTCGGGGGAGCTACATGAAACAGCACACTGCAAGGGGGCAGCTGAGCGCTGCCGTACTGCGTAAGCTTTCGGTGGCTCTTTTACTCCTCTTGCTTTCAGCCCCATCCAACTTTTGTTGTTTCCATTTCCCACTGTGCCATGATCTCCTCGTGCCTTGTACTAAGTTGCCAAAGTTTCCCCTGTGGTTTTAGTCTTCAATTCTGCTCATTTCAAGAGTTTGCTGATTTCCCCTGTTTTGCCTTAATTAAGTCCTGGTCACAATGCAGTTCCTTTGGATGCAGTGCTGTGATGGCTTTTCAGCTTCTGCACTGAAATATTTGTATTGGGACAGTGTAAGGAGGAATAAAATGGAGACAGGTAGAAGGCTCTTGTGTAGGAGCCTGCTCCCAAGGGGTCCTTGCAGCGCCTGGTACCGCAGGATGCTGCAGGGGTCTTCTGGGTGCCCCAGGAGTCAGCTGAAGGCTGGCAAAACCTTACTCCTTATCCCCTGCGCTGCTGCAACTGACTGTAAGGATGGCAGCTGTGGTAAAATCCGCAAGTACAAACCCCTGTAAACAGTGCTGATGGTCTATCTTACATCTGCGGTGATCTAAGCCCATCCTAAACCAGCTGATGTGTGATAACCAGCACCAGGCCTTGGACCACTGATTCTTTAGTTCTTCATTGCTTCAGATCTTGTTGGTAAAGTTCAGGATGGTACCAACATAAGAGAGACCACCAACAAATTCCAGTGATCTTTAAATTAGATCTGCAGCAGCAGCCATGACGCTGACATCGATATAGCTGGGATGGGTGCTGGAGCTGTTTTTTCAATTACCAAGAGGTTGGGTGCTGAGAAGGCATGAAAATAGCAGTTTTTACTCTAGTGCATTAGGACTCTGCATCTCTCCTGAGCACCAGGCAAACCACCTGGGGAAAAATACTCTATCTGTTCTTTTACCTATATCTGAAACTATTAAATATATATATATACATCTGTAAAAAAAAAAAAGTCTATGATTTTTCTTAATGTCTTGTCAGATGCTACAGTTTCAGCTGACCCTGCACTAAATTACTACTTCCTCTCTAGCCGAAATAATATGGGATTAGCAATTCCATATCTGTACCTTCATATAACAGGTAAAATATATCTATAACTTTCCAAGCTTAAAGCATATTTTACTGAGGTACAAAGCCTGTCAAATCTGTTAATCTCTAGTTTTTCTCCTATTCTACTACCCTGTCTCACAGAAACATTAGCCCTACACTATTTTTGCATAATTCTGTGGATGTTTGATTAGTTGGCATCTGGTCTGCATGCTAATTCTTTACCAGTAGAATTATTTCACGTGGTTGTAGGCATCACCTAGTGCCTCTTGCAAGAGATCTCTGCTGTTCCTGTATAATACATTCCCAGTAGCAAACAGGACAGCCCTGAGTTGCATACTAGAAGCTGAGGTGATGTGACAAGTCATAAGTCAAAAAGGCCATCAACATACAGCCCAAGTTCTGCCTCCTTCGCTCAAAACTGACTCACAGCACACTTACCTTGGCACTGCTTTGCCAGTACAGAAAATGCTGTGGTCAGATTCCGATCTTCACTGGAGGAAAAGAAGCAAGAATAAAAATAAGTGTTTTTGTTTTGTAAAGTGAAATCTTAAAATGTGTTAAAAGTTTAGATCTTCAAGAAATCAATGTATTCACGCTTTATAAACTTTGTTGCATTTCTATTTTTTTAAATAGTAATTAATAGTAAACAGCAGGCAGTGTGGAAAAGAATACTAAGAGAGAGCATGCTGGCTCAAGGTTATAGCAGAGGTCTCTGATTCAAGGTTTACTGCTCTACCATGCTTTCATGAACCTTTTTGTGACCCCAAGCAAGTTACTCCCATCTCACTATTCTTCTATTTCCTCTTTCTGTAAAATGATATTAATAGCACTTCAGCTGCAGAGCAGGTTTATTGTACATGGCTTAATGAATGTTTGTCTCCCTCTGATTGAGATTCTTTCCTGCTGGAGGCAAGAATTTTAAGCAGGTTGATTAAATATAAAAGGGCTCTAACTCTGAAGCTGCTATTAAAAGTAGAAGGAATGATTTCTCGGGGAATTCTTAATTTGATGTCTATTAGAACTGTCTAAAACACAGCAGCTTCAGTTCTTCTGTTATTTAGCAACTTTAATTTTAATCCCCATGGGAATTCTGCTAGGAGGATGCTCTGACTGTTGAAGTGATCCAAGACAAAGCCTTGACAGACACTGCTAAACCATTATTGCCCTGAGGAAGAGCAAATCACAGCAGTTGTATGGTCACAAAAGTGTGCAACTGTATGAGCAGTACATCTGGAGATCTTGGAGCTGCAGGAAAAAACGAGTGTTTGGCCAGATCCAATCCCCATTGCAGAGGCATGAGGCTGTGATGTTGGTGTAATGCCTCTGGCATGAGGGCTCAAATGCTGCTAGAGGTGCGAGGCCTCTTGCTGGCTGCAGGGAGAGCATCCGGAAGCCCATGACAAGATGGATGAAAAAGGTTGTGCAGGTATAGAGCACTAACTAAACTGGGCCAAGAGGAAATGCTGAGGATAACTTCAGTACATCCCAAAAACTTTGTGGAGGCCAGCAGTGTTGTACCTGTGTTCACATGTAGCTGAAAACTCAAAAATAATAACAATTTTCCTTGTTAGAAGAGGCTTCATCCTCCTCCTTTAGAAGAATGCTGCCAAGAGATATGGTTATATACTCTTGTGTTATTTTCTCAGTGTTGGCTCTTTCCAATAGCTTGTGACTTCTAATTTCTGCCTCAATGGATGTGGATGCAGCTTCATCCATCAGTGCACTGTGTGCCCTGAGCTAAGCAGCCTCTTCTCTTACAAGAAACAAACAGATACAGGTCTCAGGGCCCTGCTTCTAGGGCTTTCTGTGACTTATGTTGAACAGCCTTTGGACAAAATATGGAAAGAGTCCTAGAAGCAGGGGCCCAAGCCCAAGGGCTTGCTCTCCTCAGGTGGCACCTGCAGACCTGTGGCAGCCCAGCAGATGAAGCTCTGACAGCATGTGGTTCCTTGGGCTTGCCTGTTGTACAGCACATTTTGGCACAGTCCACATTGCAGTTCAGCAGCTGATTTCTTTATCATATGAGGAATTTCTCCTCTCAAAGAGAAGTTGTTTCCTAACCCTACAGTAGGGAACAAGGGCATCTCTGAAGCTTACAGATGATTCCCAACCATTAATTGCAGCAGCTACTTATTTTGAATTGTTCCTTTTTCATTCCTCATTTCATGTTGTCACTTATATCTTTTGCCACCATAAATGTTAGTTAAGTGGCTGGTCATCGCACCATTTTTTCTGGGAGAAAGAAAAGTATCAGACCACTAAAGTGAGTTTTTAGTTCTCATAAGATTAGCGTGTAGCTCACAGAAGAATATGAAACAGACATAGCATGAATTTAATTTGATGTGTACTACTCTTGTGTATTTTGCAGCTGTGGGAAAATAGGAGCTCCAAGAGCCAGGCTGCCCACCATGGAAGTGGTGCACGGTCACTTCTTTCACCCTCTGCTCAACCCAGCAGTGTGCGCAAAAAACAATTGTGTTAATATAAAGTTTCGCGCATACCCAGGAACATGCTACAGGAGCTCAACGCAGCTGTAACACTTCTGAGAATTGCAATTTATAGGTATTGCATACTGCATAAGCATGCCTCCATAAAAATAAAGCCATCTTTATCACAGTAATAAAAGCATAACTATGGGATCCTGCCTTGCTTCTTTGTCATGAAAGTAGGAAATTGTAAACACTCCCTAAACTCTCAAAAAAAATCTTTAAGAACTTCCCTAAGCATTAAAAATGTTTTCATTCCCTTCTGATATCAGTTCCCTTTGTCTGTGAAACGAAACA